TCAAATGGAAAAATCTGATGAGATTTTAAGTGTTCCTTACAGGAAACTGATTGGATCATTGATCTACCTGGCATGCACTTTAAGATCAGATATCATGTATGCGGTTTCGTATCTTAGCAGATATATGGACAGCCCGAATCAAGCTTTATGGACAGCTGGAAAACGAGTGTTACGCTATCTCAAAAACACCATTGAAACAGGACTGGTGTATAGCAAAAATGAGCCGGACTTAGTGGCATATTCGGATGCAGACTGGGCTGGTGATTAAGTTGACAGGAAAAGCATAAGTGGTTCCGCTGCTGGTAATCCAATTAGCTGGTTTTCCGAAAAGTAGACTTGCGTGGCCCTATCCAAAGCAGAAGCCGAGTACGTCGCAGCAGCAGCTTCTGCACAAGAACTGGTAAATTTGAAAGAAGTACTTTCAGAGTTTAGTGAAGTGACAAAGGTAATCCTGAAGATGGACAATTTAAGTGCCATTTCTATGAGTAAAAGTTACGAAAATTCGAAACGTGGCAAACATATAGATATTAAGAAACGTTTTATAAAAGATTTGTGTTCTGAAAAGGTTCTACAGATAGAGTATGTCAGTAGTGAAAACAATTTGGCTGATATTTTTTCCAAGGCTTTGTGTAAAGAAAAATTTAATACCATTTGTTTATTTATGAAAATTGAAAGTATTGGCTAAGTTGGGAGTTTATGTAAATTTATGAATCACTCAGGTCTCTGTAGGAAAGTTTTAAATTCTTAGTTTCATATACTTTTGGTACTTTTGGTAATTTTGTCTTGCGATATAAAACTTTGTATTGTAATTATACCTAATCATTTAATAGTTAAAAATCGAGGAGGAGTGTTGAAGTATTGTAGTCAGGGCCTTAGGGCACAAGTGACAATTGACAGACAGCTGCCCTTGTCGGAGAACTGTCAAGCTGTATTATTTAAGGTGGATTCTAACAGACATTTAATTTAATTTAGCAATTAATATAATTTAATTTAAAAAGTTTACTATACAATACCATATGACGGCGTTCATACAAAATTTTAATTTAAGACATAATATAACTTAATTTAAAAGTTGGCCAACTTTTATCTTTCAAAATTAAATTAAATTAAATTTGAGGATAATCATTGATTTTCATCAGTTAGGCAATTCAAACCACGTGACATTCAAGATGGCGTGGCGGCCACACATGGATCAAAAAACACAAAAAAATGTCTAGTTTCTGCCCGATTTAATAGTTTACGTACCTAGTGAGCAAATATTTTATTGAATAATCAAAATCAAAGCTGCAAGCAAAGCTCGAAGCAAAATAATTAAAATATACATGAAAACACATATTCAAAACAAACTTGCTGGCCGCCACGCCATATTGAATTTCACGTTTTGACAGATGGATTGATAATGACATTTTTCTATATCAGTTAAAAAATAACTGCATGAACGCCACAAAGTAAAATTATATTAAATCTCAAATTATGTTAATATAAAATTAAATTAAATGTCTGTTAGAACCCAGTCTTTTGTTGTTGTCAAAATAATTAACATAATTATTGCTTGCCGAACTCAGTGCTTCCATCAGGGTATTGTTTCATTGGCCCAAACAGGAAATACCCTTACAGGCTCCATCACGGCTCCACGGCCTACCCAAAATTCACAAACCTGAAGTCCCGCTAAGACCCATAGTGAGTGCACCTGGAGCACCAACGTACAACCTAGCGAAACATCTTGCATCGCTTCTTCAACCGCATGTCAAGGACTCTACTCACTTCGTCTAGAAAATTAGGGATAATATTTTCCAACCTGCGGATATCCTGATCAGTTTTGATGTCGTGTCTCTATTCACAAAAGTGCCATTGACGGAATCTCTTGACTTGATATCAAGTACCTTCCCAAATGGCATAGTTGTACTTTCCGGACATGTCTTACTGGTAGTTACTTCCTGTGGAACGGCGATTTCTACGAGCAAACGAACGGTGTAGCTATGGGAAGTCCGCTCAGCCCGGTCATAGCCAACTTCTTCATGGAGAATTTCGAGAGAAAAGCTATAGAATCTTTTGACCACAAACCAAGGATATGGCTTCGATATGTGGTTTAGAGTCATGGGGAAGCGAAGCTCAAGCAGTTCCTAGGCCACCTGAACGCGCAACATCCTAGCATACAATTTACCATGGAAAAGGAGAAAAACCAAGGAATCGCTTTCTTAGATGTACTCTTAAAAAATCTGGAGGAAAACTAAGATACACAGTGTACCGAAAACCCACACACACAGACAGGTACCTGCATGCACTCTCAAACCACCATCCAAGGCAAAACGTGGAATTATAACAACGTCAACAGAAGGACTAAAGTCTAGCCATCACATGTGGAGCAACTAACGATTGTAGCCGAAAGCGGAGCCGAGCGCATTGAATTCGAAGGAAAGGTGTATATTCGGTTGCAGCAAAAGGTTGTTTACTAGAGCACTGCTAAAAAAAAAAAAAAAAATGTTTATATTTATTAAGAACTCCTTAAATTGGAAATCAGGAGCAGCCCAACAACAAAAATAAACTTAAAATCAATAATAATATTAATAATTTCCTCTGTGGAGTGATTGGTACCTTTTTTCGGGAATCGGGGGAGTAGTTCGAATGAGTTAGAGAAGTTCATTCTGTTTTCGTTTTAAAGTGCTCGATACTGGGTTTATAGGCAGTCTGTTCTACCGCCCTAGCGCCCTATAACTTTCCACATTATTAGAGAGTTCTCGCGCTGTCCAAATTTCAAATATCGTAACGCTATTTGACAGGTATAACAGTTCTTACGGTATTAGCGTTACGGAGCCCGCTATCTAACGGGACTTAGCGGATGCCTTACCGTAACGCTATTTTATGTCAAAATTAGTTTCCGCTTCATTTACATCTGCAAGAACAGTTACTTTTTATTATTCCTCCATTAAGACCATAAAAAACACCAAGTGAAAATTAATCAAACTCAGAATTTTTAGGATAAATAATAAGTTAGAAAACAAGCAAAAAAAGGGGGTTAGATCACTCAACTCAGCTGTCAAAACTTAAACAGAATAATAGTCTAGGAGGCAGTGACGATTTTCGGTACTTATTTTCCCAGTCACGAAACATGGATAAAATTGTAGGGATAGTAATTCTAAGCAAAATTCATATATTTTTAGGGGGGGGGGGTTTCCGATGTGTTGCGTCGCAAAATGCGTTAGAGCTTACGAATGCACGGCCCTTTTTTTTCCAGTGATAAAAATGAGTCAACTGATCAGAAGTATACTGAAGTTACGTAAAAAAATAGTCCGGCTAATCTGTGAGTATAGATAATATGTCTGGCAAGTGAAAAATTGAAGACTCGAAAAACTTCAGCCAGACTAACTTTCCACTATCTGAGATAAGCCAAATTGCTATGTTCATATACTTTATGTTCTATTGAAGTGGGTGTGAAATATGTATGACTGGGAAAATAAGTGTACTTGTATTTTTCGTTGATCTAGTGAACCCATCCGAAAATTTTTGCGAAACTCAAATATTCTTGTTTTGTATCACCAAGAGAACAAACTATTTAATATACACCAACTGGGAAAATAAGTGCTAAAAAATTTCACTGCCTCCCGGACTATAAGGGATAAAAAAAAAATGTTATTTCTGTATTACTATCCTAAATCCAAACTATAAAAAATGTAAGTATTATTTTTACAAATAATTATTATCTTGTAAAATGGACTTTTTTGTTTTGATGAAAATAAGAATGGTTAAAGTCGTTAAAAACACGATAGAAATAACAATTAAATTCTTTTCTCGAAATTATATGCACCAGAGTTCGCTGTTCGGCTATTGTCGGGTTTGCTCCGGCTGTGACGGCTAGTAACAGAAGGTGATCGGAACTGCGAGCCACAACATCTCGAGCAAGAACTGGATCATCTCAAGTCGGTCTTTCTATCAAATGAATACAATGTATTTGAAATCGACAGGGCCATGCGACCCAAAACGGCCACACGATAAAACGTGGATGAACAACCAGTCTTGTCAAATGTTGTAATATTTGTTGAGTTTATTAGTTTCTGAGCCTGTACGAAAATTGTTGGCCTTAATTGGGCAATTTTTTTTTTGTTTTTTTTTTTTTGTTTTTTTTTTGTTTTTTTTTTTATTATGTTATTATTATTGTATTTTATTTTGTTTTTTTATTTGTACTGCTAAATTTATTGTGCTTTGTCTATAAAAAATTTGTATTTTTTCGACAATAAAGCTTATTGAATATTGAATATTGAATATATTGAAGAAACACAACATAAAAACGATCTTCAAACCAACAAGGAAAATACAGCAATCAATCAGATCAGCCAAGGATAAGAAGAAACCAGTGTCAAGCACTGGAGTCTATCGTATTTCATGCACATGGTAAGGTATACCTAGGAACAACAAAAAGACCCATGGAAACCAGGATCAACGAGCACAAAAGAAACTGCAGACTAGGTAAATCGGAAAAATCAGCAGTAGCGGAACATGCGCTTAGTGAAGGGAATCACGAAATACTATTTGGTGAGGTCAAGCCTCTTGCACCGACTTCCGGATATCACAATCGTCTTGTACGTGAAGCTATAGAAATCCACAAACATACGGAGAATTTCAACAGGAAAGATGAAACACTAAAACCTAACTAAATTTGGAACCCGATCCTCAAAAACGCAAGAGAGATCCCATTGAGTACAGAGAAAGATCAGATTAGCCACGTGATGCGAGGTCCCGCCCCTCCCCCACCAAAACCACTCATGCACACATAAATACAACTTGCGGTCGGGAACGCGTCAGTCTGCTACCAGAATCGGATATGGAAGCACCTCTGAAGATATTAGCCATGCGTGCTAGCGAAACGTCAGGGAGAAATTCCAACTTACGACAGCCATTAAGCCCGAATAAAAACACTTTATATATAAACCTGGGCCGCGAAAGCCTCACCAACTTTATCAGATGTTTGAATTGTTTTTGATAAGCATTGTTTATTTTTTCAGGTGTGTGCGTTGATTGGGGACACGGGTACGGTTGGACTGCGCAGATGGGCCCGTCTCCAGCCGTTGCGCCGCAAATTTCGTTTAGCGCAGACGTTGCTCTGAGCAGCTCAGTTTTCTGTCACGCGGCGGATTACACAATGTCTGGAGGCTACGACGACGCCGATTGGAGCGCCTTTGGAGATTTCTGTTTTTAAGATATGTATTTCCGATGCCCGGGACTTTGTCTTTGATTGCACAACAGAAAAGACAAATAAAATCTCTATAGTGCGTTTCAAAAGCCTTAGTTTAAGGGCTATGAAGAGATTCTTTATGTCCTCTAAGCCTTTTGAACACTCGGTACGGATACCTGACTGAATTTTGAATTTATTTAAGATTAGGTATTATTAGGGTGGTGCTTCCACGTCTAGAAGTTATTGATTTGTCCAAGACTATGACGCGCATGTCCACATTGAAAAAAATATATATTATATTTTAGATATTACACACTTCACTTCATGTTTTTGTAAATTTTTATAATATTATAAATTTTGTTAAGAATACAAAAAAGTTAATCTAGCACAAAACTTATGGCACTAGATTTAGATTGAATTAAGAAATGCATTAAAACTAAATCAAATATCGCTTCAGCTACATTTCCCCAGTGCTTATCCAGAGCTTTAGTAGAAAAATCAACTGTATTCCAGGTTAATCTCTTATTGATACTGGTAGCTCTGAGAGTTTCTTAGATTATGAGGTTGCTCTTGAAAATAATCTTCAAATTTATCCATCCTTTGGCCTTGTTTGTATGGCTTCAACTTCTTGTTCTTCTGATATAAAAGGATTTTGTTTGGTTAATTTCCAACTATTCGATTATAGTTATCCTAATTTAAAGCTTTCTGTCCTACCAAAACTGTGTACTGATGTTAGAATTGGACACGATGTGATGAAACAACATGATCGAGTTGATATGTTCTTTGGTCTTGGGTCAAATCCTACTTTATCAATTTGCTGCCTTATTGAAGCTAAAGTAGAACCTGTTTCAATATTTTCTAGTTTATCAAAAGACTGCAAACCAATTACTACGAAGTCTCGGCGTCATTCAAGATCAGTCCTTCATTCAGGCGGAAACTAAGAGACTACTTCAAGAAGAAATTATTGAAAGCAGTATTTCACCTTGGCATGCTCGAGTTTTGGTTACAAGAAACGAAAATCATAAACGCAGAATGGTACAGTGGACTATTCTCAAACTGTTAATAAGTATACATTGCTAGACGCATATCCATTACCTAATATTGAGACCATCGTTTCCAAAGTCGCAAAATTTTAAGTCTTCAGTAGGATTGCTTTAAAAAGTGCGTATCGTCAGTATCCAATACATAATGATGACAAACCTTTACAGCATTCGAAGCAGGTGGACGACTTTATCAGTTTCGACGCATCCCTTTTGGACTAACGAATGGAGTATCCGGCTTTCAAAGGGTTATTGACAATATAATTGAGAAAAAGCGCTTGAAAGCTGCATTTGCTTACCTCCTTCACTTCACCTTGTATGTAGACACTGGCAGATTGCTACGGTCTGTGTGATCTTTGTACCCCAGACAACCGAAACGTAGGTTATCATTGGTCTGATTACAATTTTGTATAACCATAGATTCCTCTTTGGGTTAAGTCCCCAGCTTTTTCACAAAGCCTTCTGCATCTCCCAAGGAAATTTTAGCCTACTAGACAACTTTGTTGAGACACTATCTAACAGATCTTCCATATTCAAAGTAAATACTTCACTCTTTTAAATTGACTGCTTCCCAATCATTTCCTAGTGCCCTTGCATTTTTTTTTTAACCAAAAAACATTGCTCAATAATTTATATTTTTGAAACCTAACTAAATATAAGGGTATGCTTCGACAAGAATCAGATTACCTGCTGATTCTTTGACGAAAAGAAAAACATTCAATTGAACGTCTGAGCCTAGACACAAACAAAAGTTTGTATGATTGGTTCAACAACATACTTTATATATATAGCAACATAGCTAAATATACGAAATCTATGTGTAGTTTTAGAACCACAATCTATTGTCATCAGATGTATTTAGTTTTATTATAAAAATATATAGACGTTTTATGTATAACCTTATAGGTATGTGGAACAATATGCCCTTACGCCCTTAATAGTATTATAGACTTACCATTTTCATTCAACAAAATTTAATTGATCTCTATGTACCTTAAAAAAAAATAATATTAAAGAAAAATGGAACTGTATAAAATATAATTAAAATACTTATAATATATAAATGTATAGGAGAATTAGTTTTAAAGCATGTTTAGACTGAATAAATTTAGATAAAAATAGTTTTATGAATAATTTCCGATTTATACACAATTAAAACAGTAAACTAATTTTTCATAAATTTGTATTCTGTTCTGAAAATAAGCACAAAAATCCCTTGAAGGGAAAAGTAATTTAAAATACAAAAGTACAGTTATTACCAGGAAAGATTTGTTATGTTAAGAACTGAAATAATGAATATAAATTTACTTTTGTGTTTTATTGTACCTACTATGATTTAGAATAAAATAAATGTTTTCTAATTCATCTAATTATTAATCGATACGGTATAATATTAACTGGATGTTTATTGTAGTAGACATTGCGAATCCACTGCCAATTAAAAGAAAAAAAAATCCTAAACGTTATAACTTCTACTCTAAGATATAAGGTTTGTTCCAATTATAATCTATTCTGTGAATCAACATCTCGATGCATTTCGGATTATGTTGGAACAGATCTCATGATTTTCAATTAAACTTATCCTTGTACATGTCCCTATTGTTTTTCTTTAAAATATTTCACATTATCTTAGTCTGGTCGGCGGCGACAATTTTGCCTATACCTCATGGAGTTACCTACTCTATAAATGTATAATAACTAACGCCTGAAAATAGTTAATTAATGATATACATACGTGATTCGATTATGTAGGCAAAATGATCACTGCCGACCCCTCTATTCATAAATTAATGATAAAAAAAAATGGATAATCTGTACCCTGTGACCCATGAATGTAATAATAAAAATATCAACAAAATGTTTACTTTCTTATTATGCTTTGGTTAAAGTAGAAATGATAATGCATAACAAATATTTAAAATTTCTATATTTGATTCACAATAAGATGTATTTTATAACCGGTTTGAAACCCAAATAACTTTTATCGTCTCAAGAACGCGTACATGACCTGGTTATTACGTGTGTTGTTCGATGCCAAGGATCTTTCACTTTGTTCGTACGACCTCATCATCAGCCATATGCTCGCCGTTTATTGGTAATTTGGGAAATAGCTACAAAAGAATTTACATTGAAGATAAAGAAGATGTCAGTTATAAAACTTTATACCATTTTAAGGTGGTTACAAATCAGGATAGAAAAAAAAATGAATTTCTGAATTTTTTTTTCTTCAAGGGCCTTGTCCCCTTTGAATTTTTTCAACCAATAATCTATAATCTCTTCACTTTCAGGCCGTGGAAATATTTCCCAGGTGTTACAACTTTCCAATGAATTCAACTCTTCCTTGATAGCTTCTTGCCAGCCGTGGCCCTTAGAAACTGCATCAAAATTTTCTGGAATTTCAGGGTCGAAATCACCAATTGACAATGCCGCAAACAATTCAAAATCAGGTTCAGAGTCATTTAAGTATTGTGGGAGTTTCACTTTCCGTTTATTTCTTATATTTTTATTGTCCTCTACATCTGAGTCTACACCGACCGATCCCTCTTCTTGATTTTCTCTGACTGTCTCTCTTTTTTCTTCACTTGGTACTTGCATATCCTGACCGATGATTGGTAACTGTATTTGATTTTTATTAAATATTTCCTCTTCGAAGATATCATTGCGAGATGTAACAACTGCTTCCCTGTCAAAATCCTACAGACAGTAACCATTATTAATGTAACCCAACATGCATGCCTTCCTACTCATTCTATCCAATTTACTTGTCAACTCACTTTTTGGAATGCAAGTATTAGCAACAGAATCAAAAACTTCTATTTTATTGAAATTAGGTTTTTCATCATACCATAATTCTGCTGGAGTCACACTTTTGGGCAGTTCCGATGTTTCTATGCGATTAATTAAATAAACAGCAGTTGGTACAGAGTCACCCCAGAATTTCTCTTCAAACACAAAGTCAAAAAGCATACATATTGCTTTTTCCATGACAGTGGCATTAAACCGTTCCGAGACACCATTTTGTTGTGGAGTGTGAGGAATAGTATATTCTACAGTGATACCTTTTTGCTTACAAAATTTTTTAAATTCATTCGAAGTATTTATATTGACCTCCGTTATTACATCTAACTCGTCAATGGATTTCATAAATTTTACTTCAACCTTGTTTACATAATCCTTGAAGTATTCGAAAACTTCACTTTTATTCTTCATTAGGTAGCACACAGTGGAGTGGGTAAAATGATCCACGAAAATAACAAAATACCTCATACCATCTATCATGAGTTGTGGGACTTATTGGGCCACAAACGTCCGAGGAAACAACTTGTCGAATCCTTTTGGGTTTTCTCTTCTCATTCAAAGGTATGTTAAGTTTGCTTCCCGTTTATACAAACTTCACAGAGTTTGTTACTCGAATATGTAGAGTGACCCATACGTCTATGCCATAAATCATCAAGATCTCTTTTACTTAAGTTTACTTCAGGATCAAGTTCAGCAGGTTGAATTTTAAAGGTAAGTATGTAGAGGCTTTTAACTAGTGTTCCTTGGGTTAAAAAAAACTCCATTATTTTTAATTTTTACACAGTCACCATCAAATAAAAAAAATGTCTTGTAAATTTTTTACGGAGAAAAGATTATGAGTCAAATTTTCACAGTCTAACACATTATTTATTTTATACAAATCTTCTTACCTTCCAAAGTCTCCAACTTCAATATACCTTGTTCACGAGCAACAAGAACTTCACCTTTCTTGGCAACATTTATTTTTATGCATACATCATTGACATTTATCAAATATTTTCCAACAGTCTCCTTTATAAGATGGTGCACCACTGTCCACTACAAAACTAACACTTCCAACAGAGGGTAAATTGGTTAAATCACTGTCAATGTCCAAACTCGAAATAAAAGCTATTTCATCATCTTCTTCTTCGACTGAATGTTTGACCACATTACAATTTCCTGAGTAATTTCCTTTATTTCTTAATTTTGGGCATTAGAACTTCTTATAGCCTTTAACATGACAGTTATGACACTTAAAAGGAAATTCATTATTATTGGCTTGAATTCCTCCACTTGCGTAGCGTCGAGTTTCTGCAAAACTTCCACCTCGACTTCCACCATGTTGTCCATAGGCAAACTTTTTCTGGCCCTTCAGGTATCTTTTTCCACTATAAAATACCTGTTCCCTCATTCTCTTCTTTGTTCTTCAACAATATGGATTCCGCCATCAGAAATTTATTTTTAACAAAATCAAAAGTAATATTTGTACTCCCTTGACAATCAATAGAGGTGGTTACTATACCTGGTAGCTTTCAGGCATTGCTGATAGTAATTGGCTAATAATCTCAGTGTTATCAATATTACCACCGCTGTTTCTTATTTCTAATATGGTTTTCTCGAATTCAAAGAAAAAATTGTTTAGCTTATCATTGCCAGAGAATTTCATTTTTCTCAGCTTTCTTTGGAGATTAACTAAGTTGGCAATGCCTTGTTTGTGAAAAGTGCCCTTTAATTCATCCATAATTTCCTTGGCATCAGTTCCCTTGGTTTTTAACATTTCGAGTACACTATCTGCCAGCACTTGGACTATTAGATTTCTTGCCTTCACGTCATTTTTCTTTTACGCGGAATTCCCAGTTTGAGAATCCATTTCCATCAAACGGTTTTATTACACTTACCTACTGCTTGTGGAATTGAAGACGCCATTTTGTCTTTTCAATGGTACATCAAAAAACTTTTAAAACTTCCTGTACTTTACTTTGGTATTCCTCCACTAGCACGCTGGGACCGATAACCTGTAGAGAATTCAGACAACTTGCCTCTATTCTCCAGCAATAAAGTACTTGTTTTAATTATATTTTAGTTATTTATTGAAGACAATGAAGACATATTCAACTAACTTGCCAAAGTAACAACCATTAACTGACTACTTTTTGAAATGACATAATACAATATGAATGCTGGAAGAATTGTTCGTATATATTTACATTATGGGACGAGAAGGCAAGCACATCATATTGCAGCTAATAATCAAAATTTTTACCACTCTCAGACCATAGGGACAAGCATGTCGCTTCTGGAACACACAAATAAAATTAGGTTATAAATTTCCTATTTGTATTAGCCAGAGATATGGGAGAGTTGTTGGTTAGAATAGAATAAGGGTCCATCCTGCGCAACTGACCGAATTTGAAGGACCGCCATTTTTATCAGTTGTCAAATTCGGATTTGGGAAAATAGGTTATGAACTCATAACTCAAAAAATAGGCAGAAATAACAAAAAGAAATCTTTTAAAACACCACGCTGATAAAAATATCTTAGAAAAAGCAGGAAAAATCGCCAACAACGACAATCTGTAGCCAACCAAAAGTAAGGTTATGTTGTGAAAAATCTGTCAGATTGAAGTTGTCAACGTAAAAACTAATAGTGTTTTCGATCGTTAAATTTAATGCGCATTGAGTGTATTTTCATCCTGTTTCATCAACCTATAGAAGAAAAAGACAGAAATAAAAAAAAGTTGCACTAGATCTACCAATCGGAAACGGCATAAGTGAAAACTAGCAAATAGTGATGAAAATGGCAGCCCCCTATGCGTTACCAATAAATCGGATGCGCAGTCGTCTAAGCGCATTCTAAACTACGCGTCAATCGAACTCGAACACCCCAATTTTTGGTCACATTTTGAGAAGCTATAACTCAAAATCTAGCAGGCCGATTTTGTTAAAATTTTCAGGAGTGAAAGGATGCTCTAATTGCTATTTAATTTTCAGTTCTTAACAGATTTCCGGCCACCTGCTAAAAGATACAGGGTGAACATAAGTTGGTTTTGTGTGAAGGTGATTTTTGTGCGAAAGTTTGGGTTTACCTCATTCTGCTGGAGGGAGGGTTAAGTAGATTTTTTGGAATGCAGTTCAGAAGAGTACCTTAGTACCTCGGGCCGTTTTTGAGATTTTTTGAATATCGCAGCCGACTACGATTTTATCATGAGTTATACGATTTAATGTAAAATATAACTATTAAAGTCATTGTTTCTTTTCGAAACAAACACTACAAGAATGGCGCATGTGAAAACATACTTAGAACATATTACACAGGGTCATACAAAAATATATAGGGTGTTCTGATAAGAGTTTCCGGATGTTTTTCTCAATTCAAATGAAAAGGAAACTAGGAAACATTTATTAGGTGTATAGCAATAAGTAACATAATCGTTCACAATTATACATGAAAGGCAATATCCAACAAATGACCACCACGACTTCTCTCGCCGAATCTCATCTTTCAACTCTTGAATTGTTTGGGGGATCGTTAACATACGCTTTGCTTTTGATGTTACCCCACAAAAAAGAGTCTAGTGTCGTTAGATCGCAAGATCTAGGCGGCCAATTGACATCCTCAATTCTTGAAAAAAGTTTATCTTCAAACCTTGTTTGCAATAAGTCAATGGTTTATCTTGCTGTGTGACATGTTGCACCGCTTACATCAAAATAAACGCGTATGTGAACAATCTCCAAACAATTCAAGAGTTGAAAGATGTGATTCGGCACATTATTCGTGAGATACATCCGGAAATGTGCACAGATGTGATCGAAAATTTTGGCAAAAGAGTTGTGTACTGTGAGAGAAGTCGCGATGGCGATTTGTTGGATATTGTGTTTCACATATAATTGTTAACGAGCATGTTACTTATTGCTATAAAGTTGTTTCCTAGTTGACTTTTCGTTTGAATTGAGAAAAACATCCGAAAACTCTTACCAGAACACCCTATATATTTTTGTATGACCCTGTATATTTTCTAAGTGTGTTTTCAGATGCGCCATTCTTGT